GCGGAGAATGGGCACCTCGGGCCACCGGGCGCAGCCGGAGAATAAACCCCGATGATCACGGGCTGAGTCCCGCGCCGCCACCATGTCCGTGGCCTTCGCGTCCGCGCGGCCGAGAGGCAAAGGGGAGGTCACGCAACAGACCATCCAGAAGGTAGGCCGGGCGCCGAGTCGGCGAGGTGCGAGCGGGCAGGCGTGGGGCCGGGCGCGAACAAAGCCGGGGCGCAGCCTCGCGGCCGCGAGCCCCCACGACGACCCCCGCCCCGACTGCCCGCAGCGACGGGCCGGACTCGGGCCCGGGGCCGGGAGCGCTCCCCGGAGAGCCTGCGCCAACTTTGTTGCGGGCGTGCGTGCCCTCGGCGAAGCGGCGAGCCGGTCCCTGAGCGTGCTGCCCTGGTGTGCGCGGAGCGCGCAGCCGGGAGCAGCTGTGGCCGTGCGGGACTCCCCGCGGCCCGCTTCCCCGCGGGGCCGGCCGAGGGCTCGTCGCGTTCGGCTGACAGCCGTGCAGCTAACGGCGAGCGCGCCCCGGGCCGGCGGCCGCCTGCCCCTACGCAACTTGGCTGGTAGTGAAGGCGCGGGGCCCCGGGGCGCGCAGCGGCGGTGGCTCGCTGCGTGGGTGAGCTGCCGACGCTCGGGGCACAAAGGGATGCGTCCTTGGGGGAGTGCGGGTGAGCGGCCCGAAGCTCTGCAGGGAGCGCGCAGCTCGGAGTGGACCGGCCGGCCCGTGCGTCCCCGCCCTTCCTTGCAGTCGGTTGACTTTCACGGAGACGCCACCAGCCTAACCAAAACGACGAAGTCGTCTTCCTGTCATTCTGTGAGTTTGACCGTGGCTATCTAGAGAGAGCGTTTAAATGGACTTGGGGAACCTTAACAAAAGCTTCCAGTTTTGACATGGAGACTATAGGTTCTACAGTTTTCCTTAGAGGACCAGTGTAGAGGAAAATCGATGTTAAATCATACCCGTTTGTGGACATCTCTTATAAGCTACGTTGGTTTTGTTTTCTCAACTCTGACTCATCTGCAGTGGTATTCCTGGATTCTCAGAGCCTGTCAGGTCCCCAGGGGGGGTTCACCTTGATGACCACAACTCTTATTTTATGTGATGAACTGCCCGTGTGTCCTGGGAGCTATCTTCAGTCCAGTCCCTATTTTGAGACTATCCTCCCTGTTGCTATCTTAGATTAAGTGGCAATTTTTAAAAAAATGGGGAGCCTCCACCAGCTTTAAGCAGGAGAAACTTTTGAGAAGAGCAGAAATAAAGGCTACAAGTGTGATGATTTTATTTACATCTTAAGAACTGGTGCCTTGCCCAAGTGTGGCTCCAGGGTATGCTGTAACGGTGGAAAGTGGCTGGGGTTTTGGCTGGGAGTAGGGTCAGGTACTAGGTGCAAAGGCCCATGGCAGCAGTCCCAAGAGTGTCTTGGGACCCGGTTTTGGAGCTGAACAGTCGCTGCTGCTGAAACCACACTTGTTCAGTAGTGTGTATTTCACACCCACTCCCCGCAGGAGCTTCTGAGAGTCTCCAGGCAAGTGTTCATTCGAGGGCTTCCTGGAACGTCAGATAAAGAGGGCGTGAGCTGACTGCATCCTGTGCAGGTGGCCCACCAGCTGACCGCCCAAGTGGGTCTTCTGCTGAGGGTGTCAGCTGACTCCACCTGGTACAGCCAGCAGTCTCCTTCGGGCCTCAGTGATTCGATAGCATGTATGTGTACACGAGGACTTTTGCTGCAGGTCTGAAAAGGGTAAGAGAAGTGTGTGTCCTACACATAATGCAAGCCTTGTCCTGCTGTGTGTGCTGAGAGGTCTGGGAAAAGCCCAGGACTCCCTGAGAGCCTGCTGAGTTCTAAAGGAGGGGAAGCAGCTCTTTGTGCTCAGAGCATATCTCATCTCCAGGTGGAACTCTCCCAGACCAACTCCCATGCACCCTTCCCAGGCCCGATTGCCTCGGTAGTCCTGAGGCCCATAGTTCTGTGAGCCATTGCTTGGCTCCCAAGTCGCTGTGTGGATGGCTTACTCCTTGCTGATGCCCTGCCTGGTGTAGGGCCAGGACAGTTCCTGCTCAATGTGTTTTGCAGGATCTGTGACACCAGTTCTGTCTGTGTGCACACTTTGGAATAACCACGTGTGTTAGCATCCTGTATTCGTGGTAGTTCTCAGGCGTCAGGGGCCTCAGGTGCTGCTGGGGGATCTGTCTCACGCTTTCCTCTTAGGCCGTGACCTTCTGTGTTCTTGGTTTGTAGTTGGTCACTCCGGTCTCAGCTGCTTCAGTCTCCTCTGTGTTCAAATCTCCCTCGATTCAGGAAAACACTAACCCTGTGTGACCTTGGCTTGACTCATTGGCAAGTGGCCTGTTTCCCAGTTCAGCCCACAGACAAGGATGCGTGTGTGTGTGTGTGTGTGCACGCGCGTGCAAGCGTGTGACTGCAGAGAAGGGCGACCAGGAGGCAGAGGAAGGGAGACTCGCAGGCTCGAGGGAGCATGGGGGTCCCAGGTATGGCCTACATAGAGCCCACCGTGTACCTACAGCTGAAGGGCGAGACAACTGGCCTGACTGGAGAGCTTAGCTTGTGGTGACCAAGCAGCATGCAGGAGCAGGATACTGAGCTGTGCTTTGCTGGAGCAGTGGGGAGCATGGCTGTACCTGGCATGCCATGTCCCCAGGCTCAGTGACTCTGCTCTTGTGACCAGGGACCGCCGTGTCCCGAAAGTCCCCACTGTACCCCTGACAGTGCAGGCAGCTGTGGGCTCCAGTGGTTGCTGTGGCTCTGTGGATATAACACACGTTTTAGGGACTTCTGAGGTGCCCTTTGCTGCTTGGCATGCAGTAACTGCTCAGTAAACGTAAGAGCTATTTCCTTTGTTGTTTTTTAATTTAGTACAGGATCCACAGGGTCTTACTACAGAGATCGGACTCGTAGTGATTCTCCTGTTTTCAGCCTCCCAAGTGCTGGGATTACAGGCCCACGCCACCACCCCATCTCAGTAGCGGACTCAGCGTGCCCTGGGGGCGGGGCCAGCATGGCACACTGGGGATGGAATCCCCTGGCCCCTGCATCTGCCTAAGCAGGCGCTTTAATCTGTTGAGCTTTCTGGCCAGCCCTTCCCTTACTGCTTGTATTGTTCTCCTTACTGCATTTTTGGCTGGACAGTGTGGGGTAGGGAAACAGCCCCATGGGAGTGGGCCAGAGCTGATGAGGGGTGGGCTTGCCAGGGTGGATCTAGTATGGGGAGACAGACCAGCAAGGGTAGTGCCTGGCTGAGGGTCCAGGAGCCGGGGACTGGTCATGGCCAGATAGCCCAGCCCAGGTGTGGCTGTGCCCAGGTGCAGGGGCAAAGGGGGGCAGGTAAGAGGTGGCACTGTGCGTAGGGGGCATGTGCCCAGGAAGAGCGGGGCAGGTGGGCGAACCCTGTCTTTTCCTCACACCGGGAACTGCCATCTCAACACTGGCAGCTCTGGTCGGAGGAAGATCACGGTCAAGTCAGAGCTGTCCCCACAACTGTAAATGGCGCTGAGAGAAGCCCGCTGTGGGTAAATGAGTGTAGGAGCTGCTACCAATAGCACTTTCGTCCCTGTGGGCGGAGGTCCCCCACATCCAAGGGAAGCACAGGGCTGGGGAGAGGAGAGTGGCTCTACTTCTAGTCCACCTGGGGCCTGTCTCGGGAAGGAACCCCATGGAGCCGGGAGGGGGAGCTCGTGGGTTCATCGCCTTCTCTGTCATCTGTGAGCCCTGGCCTTGGCCATTCTGCAAGACTCAAGCCTGAGTGCTTTGTCCCGAGTATTGGAGGGAACAGGAAAGAGCTGAGCCTTGTCCCCTTGCCCACTGAAGCCTTCCTGTGAGCCCTCCAGCTGGGTGCCCCACAGGTGTCTCTGGGCCTGCTGCCAAGCCACCCAGAACCCCTTGGCATAAAGGCCAGTGCACCCGCTTTCCTGTGCCTTGCTATTCTGTGGTCTGCGAGTCTCTTGGCGGTGTTGAGCCTGGGGACAGAGGCAAGGGCAGGCTCTGCGCTCAGTGCATGAGGCTCACTCACTGCTAGCCCCTCAGTTCTCCCTTCACATGGTGGCTCTGGCCCCTGCTCCTAGGCCTGGCGCTTGCCTCTGTGTGGAGTCACCGGCCAGCTTTCTGGAGCCCCCAGCTGCAGGGATAGAGGGTGTGTGCCGGGTGCCCAGCAGGTAGGGCATGGGTGGGTCTGAGTTCCTGTACGTTCTCTGCAGTGGGGAGGAGACAGAGCTAGGCGCCTGGGGTGTGAATTGAAGGGTCCTGAATGGGTAGGGGAGAAGGCCAGTGGGCACGGCTGGGAAGCAGGCTGCTGAGTGCACTTCCTGCGCAAAACTCTACTTTTCAAATTGGGGAGAGCTGTGGGAGGCAGCAACCCTTCCTGTTAAGGGGGTGTGGAGGGGAATGGCCTCCTAGCTCCAGTTCCTGTTTCTCCTACACTGACTGTGCACACACTTTCCCCACGGCCTCAGTTGCCTTGTGTTTAGAGTGGGATGAGGTCGCAGCCCTGTTGTAAACTGTGTTGGTGGTTGATGTGATGAACTGGGCTAGTGCTGCAGTTACCTCTGCCCTTCACCTCTGGCCCTGGCTCAGCGGGAGGGGGCCAAAGAACGTGACAGAGGTGCTTGGTAGGAGGTGAGGACTCCTCCAAGCCACTGGAGGCCATCATTAGCCCAGGGTCTTTTTATTTTATTTTATTTGTTGTATTTTAGGGCAGGGTCTACAGCATGTTCAGCGTCTTACTACTAGATGGAACTCCTAGTGATCTTTCTGTTCAACAGCCTCCCAAGAGCTGGGATTACAGGTGCGCACCACCCCGCCCAGTCTCAGTTGCCGGCTTAGTACACCCCAGCGGCCGGCCGGCCGGCACGGCAGGTCCAGGGGCCTCCTTGCAGGCACTTTAATCCACTGAGCTATTTGGCCGGCCTTAGCCCAGGGTGTTGTGAAGAAGGTGGAGCTGCTGGCATGTGTGTAGCCAGATGGCATAGGATTCTAATGCAGTGTGGTCATCTTTCTCCAGCATGGGGATCCTTACAGATCTTACTCCAGTGGGGAGTAAGCACCCCAGCAGCGTAAGACAGGGAGTGACTCCTGTGTTATGTGAGAAAGGTGGAAATATGTTTGCTGTTATGGGCTGCATCCTGGCCTGCCTTCTGTCAGTGGGACTGAAGAGCTCAGGAGCTTCCTTGGGTTGGTTAAGTCATTGTTCCTCTGGAAGTGTCCTCAGGATAGGACACTGTCTCCTCGGCAGTATCATCAACCAAGAAATGAAGGAAGGGATAAAGGGGATGCAGAAAGAACGAAGCCGTGTTGTGTCCACAAGTGTAATCGTGACCTCTTCAAAGCTGGACTGGGAAGAGGTTGACGAGTAAACAAAGCACCATCAGCCAGGTCTTAACTCACCAGAAGGTCTCAAGGCTAAGTCATTGCTTCTCTGGAAGTATCCAGAGTCAGATCCTCCATCCTTCCAAGGTTCCCTCAGTGTTAGGCTGTCACTCCCTTAGTGGTATACGATGCCCAGCTTTAGGTTATCGCTGTTCCAGAAATCCCTTTGTGATTAGCTTAGGCTCCTCTTTTTTTTTTTTTTTTTTTTTTTTTTTTTGGCGGAACCGGGGATTGAACTCAGGCCCTTGTATTTGCCAGGGAAGCACTTATTCCACTGAGCCAACTGCCCGGCCCAGGTTAGGCTCCTCTTGATGCCCCCCAGAGTTAGGTCCTTCTTCCAATAGGTGTCTCTGAAGGCTGATCACATGTCCTCAGAGATAGACTATAGCTTTTCTGGAGGTCTCCTCAAATTAGGTAATCCCTCTTCCAGAAGCCTCTTCAGGGTTAAACCGTCTCTGCTCTGGAGGTGACCTCTGTTAAGTCGTGAACGCTGTAGCATCCCCCTCAAGGCTGGCAGGTTCAGTCATTGCCTCTCCAGAGGTCTCCCTGAACTTAAGTCATCCCTCCTGCGTAGCCCATGGCTCCTCTGGAAACCTCCTCGGGGACTAGGTCATGACTCCTCCGGAAGCCTCTCACTATCTCATAAAAGACCCAGAGGTAAGTGTGTCTGTTCTGTAGAACTTTCTTAGGGAGGTCATTGCTCCTTTGGAGGTCTCAGTCCTCCGGAAGACTCCACAGTTAGATCATTAGCCTCTGGAAGACTCCCTTGGGATTATGTTATTTCTCTTCCAAGGGTATCCTCAGTGAGTTAATTTACTCTTCCAGAAGTCTTGGATTGGATCATTGTATCTCCAGATGTCCCCTGGGTTAGGACGTTCCTTCCCTTTGGAGTTAAGTCATGACTCCTCAAGAAGTCTCTCCTAGCCTGGGTCTCTCAGCAATAGGTTTTCCCTCCTCAGAAATTCTCCTCAGGGACAAGTTTTCACTTCTCTAGAAGTCTCCTCAGGGCTAAGTCATCGTGCCACTATATTCTCCTAGGCTAGGACATTCTTCCTCTGGAAATGTCATAATTTCTCTGGAAATCTCGAATCATCTTTAATCCAGAAAGTCCCACTCAGGATCGAACATTGTTTCTGCCCGTGTTTTCTCAGTGTTAAATGACAGCTCCTCTGGCAGTTTTTTCAGGGTTAACGCATAGGTGTCTTAAGTTTCATTACTGGTCCTTTAGAAGTTTTCCCAGAGTTAAGTTATTGCTCTTCTAGAACTCTCTTTGGGATGGAGTTTTGTTTCTCTGCAAATCTCAGTGTTAGGTCTCTGATCCTCTTGAATTCCTATTTGATTATTCCTCCTTAGGAAGACTCCTCTGGAGTGGGTTGTCACTCTTCCCTAAGTCTCCTTAGGTAGGTCTGCACCCTCCAGAGGTCTCCTCAGGCGCCTGCACCTTAAGCTCACCCCTTCTCCAGAAGCCTCAGGGCCAGGTCGTTGCTTCCCCCTCAGTTAGTAGGTCGTTGCTTCCCCCTCAGTTAGGCGTCGGTATGCTGGAGGGCTCTCTGAGATTAGGTGATTGATACTCCAGAAGTCTCCTTGGGGTTAGGCCGTCACTCGTCTAGAAGTCTCCTCAGGGAGGTCGTTGCTTTCCCAGAAGTCTCAGGTTACATGTGCCTGGCAGGGGAGATGCCATGACCCCAAAGGTGGTTTCACAGGGCAGGGCTTCCGCGTTGCACTCAGGTGGCTGCTCTTCTGGTCAAGTCATCGCCCTCCAGCCAGTCTCCTCAGGGTTAGTTTATCGCGCCTTTAGAAGCTTCAAAGGCTGGGCCTTGTGGACACTTGTGACCCTAACACTTGGGAGGCTAATACAAGAGGGTACCTCAGGTTTGTGCCAACCTGGGCTCCGTAGCGAGTTCCCGTCAGCCTGAACCGTAGAGCAAGAGACCCTGTCTCCACGTGCGTAAACACTCTGCTAAACCGCGTGCTTTACACACCTGTAATCCCACTACCTGAGAGGCTGAGGTAGGAGGGCTGTTGCAAGTTTGAGGGCAGCCTGGGCTACATAGAAAGATCCTGTCTCAAAAAAAGAGAAAGTCTCCCAGAGGTTATGTTACCTGTGCTGTAGAAGCTTCCTCAGGGTTTGGTCACCATCTCGCCAAGTATCTTCCCAGAAGTCTCTTTAGTTAAGTTATTGCCCCATAGAAGTCTCTCTGTGGGTTGAATTCACTGCTGCTCTGAAAGTCTCATTGCTTTGGGGTTTTTTGTTCTATAGCTTGCTATGGTGGCCTGGACTCAGGCTGACCTCCACTTCTCAACGGTCCTCCTGCCACAGCCTCCCAAGTGCTGGGATTGCGCCCTTGTACTGACGTTCCCTCAGGAGCAGGTCACAACACCTCTGGAAGTCTCCAGGGTTGTCATTACCCTCCCACAAATCCCAGTGTGAGGTCACTGCTTCCGGGAAGCTCCTCAATTGAGTCCTAGCTCCGCTAGAACTCTCTGTCAGGATATCTGAGCCTTCAGGAGTCCTGGGTCCTCGCTCTGGAAGCCCCCCCTTAGGGTCAGTTACCAGTCCTCCAGCTGTCCTGGTGGCGGGATGTCTCCTGGGGTGCCTCTTGGAGGGGTGGCACCCTCAGGCCCAGCCAGTGCCCGTTCTCCTGTGGAGAATCTTTCCCCAGAACCTGGCTTTTCTCCCCTGTCCCTTTTGATCAAGTCTTTCCCCCAGGACCCTTGGTCAGGCTAGTTTCTGGGTAGCCTTCCACTGTGGAGATGTGTCCTGCGGCATGAACTTGTGCAAGGAGATTTTGGAGCTTCTCTCCACAGTGCCGTTTCTGGCTGTGCGGGACAGTTGCTTGCTGTTCCACTTGGATCACTTTTAAATTCCATTATCTGTTCCATTTTCGGACTGCCTCATTTTCTGCTTGCTAGGAGTTTCCTTCAACTGTTCTAATCTGACCCCTGGATGTAGTTCTTTTTTCCTCTTTGTCTTACCAACATAGTTTTAATTTCCAAGAGCTCGTTTTCCGCTTCTTGTGTGGTTTTTAAATAGCATCCCGTTCTTCTCATGGATACAGTGGCTGCTTCTTCTCTTTGTTTTGTGTATTAATCTTTGCTTTGGTTTGCTTGCTTGCTTCCTTCCCTTTGGCCTGCAGGTGTTGGCATTTGACTTCACAGAGCAGGCTTTCCCTAAGCAGCCGTAATGGGTTACAGGGCCTTGTGGAGAGCTAGGGGTGACGCTACTGCAGCATCTGCTTACAGCGTTTGGGCTGCGTGCTTGGTGCCCGTGGAAGGATCCCTCGGAGGAGTGAGAAGTCCAGTAGGGTACCAGCTGCCTTTTAGAGTGGCATCAAAAGCACTGGGAGCTGCTTCCCTTTAGCGAACATGTTCACGAATGCCTCACTAGGCGGCTTGAAGCACCAGCACTGCGTGTATGCTTCCCACTTTTGTTAGTGAAAAGACCAGGAAAAGTGATTAGATCCATTTGTGGCACTCCTGGTACAAACTGCCCCATGGACAATCAGGCTGGCGGGGGTGCCTAGGGGTTGAACTGCTCTCCTGCTCACGGTCACCACTTGGCTGGCAGCGCCCCCTGGTGGTTGCCTGTTTCAGGATGGCCCTGCTGAGCTGTGTGTTTTGTCGTGGTGGAGAAAAATGGTATAGTAGAAGGCATCCTGTGAGCTGGACCCCCAAGGGTAGATGTGTTCCAGTGCTTCAGGCTGGAGGGAAGGGCAGGGCCGGCAGCTCTGGGGCAGGTCAGGTGGATGGGGCCTCCTCCCCTGACTGCCAGGACCACACTATCTCCAGAGCCTGTGGTCCTGCCCTAGAGAGACCTGGAATCAGAGTTTTAGTGGAGGTGACTAACTCCGGCGCTTCAGGCCCCAGACCCACTAGGGTCACCCTCCCTGCCGTGGGTTCGGAGGTCACACCTGCCAGCCGAGACCAGGGACACGTGGCAGCCAGCACATTCAGGACCTCATGGGCATGGAGCTGGGCCAGAGGTTATGGGGGGCCAAGGAGTGGCTCTGTGGGGCGGTGGCCTGGGAGGAGTGGGAGGGCCCTCACTTGGGCTCGGGTCCAGCAGGCCACTGCTGTGAGAGCGAGGTGCCCAGGCTGGACAGGAAGGAGGTGTCTGGGATGATGGCAGCGGCTCTCGGCCATCCAGCCCTGGTCATCCCCAGCCACTGCAGTCACTGAAGCAGCCATGGCCCCCAGGGCCTCAGTTTTTGCTGTGTCCTGGTTGAGTCTCTGGGCAAATGTACCGTGGCCGTGTGTGTACCCTCTCCGTGTGGTCACTCCGCAGATGCTGGATGAGAACCACCACCTGATCCAGTGCATCCTGGACTACCAGAGCAAGGGCAAGACGGCCGAGTGCGCGCAGTGAGTCTGCAGCCCCAAGTGCGTGGAGGAGGGTGTGTCCCTGCGCCCTTGGGCAGCACCTGCCACCCTGAGAGGTGCAGCCCGGAATGGGAGCCGCTGGGAGTGGAGCGGAGGGGGAGAGCGCGCTGCTGGGCCCGGGCCAGCCACAGCCCGCAGCTCCATAGCTAGTAGGACATGCGCTGGGGCAGCGGTGCCCACGTGGTGCCCCGTGGCCGACGCAGGCCTTCGGGTGTGCCTGGAGGCTGGAGGTGTGGAAGGACCTCGGAGCCATCCCACTCCAGGTACTGCCGGCCTGTGTGTGAGGGGCTTTGGACCCCACCCCCCGGCTTGATGTGTGAGAGTGGCCTGGAACCCAGGTGTGTGTGACCTGTGTGGGCTCCTTGGATTCTCCCCTCCCCCATCTTGCCGTTTCCTTCCTGTGCTGCTCAGGGTGGTCAGCGCCATTGAGTTAGCCTGATGCCTGGCTCAGCGGGAGTAGGGCTCGGTCCGTCCGTCCCCCCTGCCCTCTCCACTGCCACCTGCAGGTTCCACCTCCTACAGCCTGTCCCCAGCCTCCTCTCTCTGAACAGAGTGGTATCTCCTGTCAGGCCCCATCGGAGTGGCTTTCTGGAATTGTCACAGGGCGGGGGCCCGTGGGAACCTGCTGGATCCACTGCCCGCCTGCCCCTTTCTGGGCCACCGTGTGCTGCCATGTGCCTGTTTCCAGCTGGGCCACCCCGCCAGTGCCTGGGTGCTCCTGGGCCCACTGCCATTGGGCTCTGGCTGCGGTCCCTGCCTCACAGACATGCTCCTCACAGGTACCAGCAGATCCTGCACCGGAATCTGGTCTACCTGGCCACCATAGCAGACTCCAACCAGAACATGCAGTCCCTGCTCCCCGCCGTGAGTACCGCCAGCTGGGGAGCCAGGCTCCCCCCTTACCAGCAAGGGTCAGCCTGCCACAGAGCAGGTTCCAAGCGGGTCCCCCTCAAATAGGAAAGTGACTTGCAGGAAGCAGGTCCTCTGAACCTCCCCAGGGGTATGGGGACAGTAACAGGATCCTTCCTGGGATGCAGGGTGAGGGGCAGTGTCCGAGGTCGTTGGGTTTGACTGGCGCTGGAAGCTGTTTAGCAGGCTGAGGTGAGCCCACTAGGAGTGACAGCAGGTGTCTGGACAGACACAGAGGAGAGGGGACTGTTGCTCGCCGTGTGTCCTCTGCTTTTTTCTTGTGGTCCTGGGGTCATCCTAGTGCAGGCACACTGGGAGTCCTGCGCAGTGGGAGCGGCTGTAGCCCGGGCCCTTGCACTGCTGTGATGAAAGGCAGATCTGAAAGGGGCGCTCCAGCGCAGAAGCCTCCAGCGCAGGTGGCAGTATAAATGTTTCATTTCCTGTTTGATTTTTAAAAGTGCATTTTCTTCACATTAAATTTTAACTGTGAAGCAAGATCCTGTGGTTGCAGCCTCGGCCTCCCTGTGCTGAGGAGAGCACAGGCCAGCTGGACCAGGAAGGTGTGAGGACACTGCCACCAGGTGGCTCCCCTTCCAGTGCCCTGAGTTCCTCTAGAAATGCTGGCACTTATGAACACGGAGCGTGAAGCCAGCACTACCTGGCTTCTCAGATCTAATCCTTGCAGAGACCAGCAGATCCTGCGAGACACTTCCTGTATATGGCTGTGGGAGAAAACCCCCAGTGCAAACCTTTGGAGCCATGTAGATGGGGAGTGGAAAGCAAGGGGCTGGGCTCACCTGCACTTTCTTCTTCCCTGCTGTCCTGGGCTCAGAGGCGGGGTTGGAGGCAGATTGTGAGGGGAGGGGAGTAGACATGGGGGCACAGGAAGCAGCATGAACCAGCGGGGCAAAGGCACGAGACCCAGAGAGGATGTGGGTGCCAAGGTACGGCCAGCTGGATCCAAGGGGGATGGGGCGGCCGCAGGGTGGGTGGGCATGGGAAGGCGCTCCCTTCGTCCCAGGAAGGACCCAACTTGTAGCGCCTGAACACGTGTGGGTAAGTGTAGCTCTCACCTGTCTGTTCTGGGTGCTTGCGTCTCCATCTGTTCCGAAATGTTGGAGTGTGACCGCAGCTGGCGGTTCTCCGTGAGCTAACTGTCCTCCCCTGCCCTTCCTGTTGTCCGCAGCCACCAACCCAGAACATGAACCTGGGCCCCGGAGGGCTGAGTCAGGGTGGCTCCAGCCAAGGCCTGCATCCCCAGGGCAGCCTCAGCGACGCCATCAGCACTGGCCTCCCCCCAGCCTCGCTCATGCAAGGCCAGCTTGGCAACGGTGAGTCTGCAGCCCTAAAGAAGCTGGGAGAGGGCTCTGTGACCAAGTCACCAGGCAACTGCAGGTGATGAGCATCCACGGCCAGGCACCTCTTGCCCCCAGGGCTGCGCGCAGTGCGGGGTGGGGAGCTAAAGGCCAGTGAAGCGCAGCCTGCTGTGTTCAGACACTGGCAGGCAGGGCCACTTCCCACATAACCCTTGTGAATCTCTAATAAGAATCGTTCTGTCTTTGGTTGGTAAGTCCCCGTCCTCACGGAGGGCCTCAGCTAAATGCTTAGCCTGTTACTAGTACTAGTACTGTTATCATTATTGCTACTAATTTGAGACAGGGTCTCACCAAGTCACTAAGTTGCCCAGGCTGGGTCCCACTGCGGCCTCTGCGTGGCCTCCGAGAGTGCTGGGATCACAGATGCGTGCAGCACACCTAGCAGATTGGAAACCGCTGAGAGTGGTTTACCACGGGCGTGTGGTTCAGCTGCCATGTCATTAGTGTGTCCACTTACCTTTTCATTCCCCATCTCATCATTTACTTCATGCACAGTGTGCTGATCTCCAGATGACTAAAGGAGACCAGGGCGCCTTCACCCCCGAGGGCGAGCCCTGGCCTCCAGCCCCTCATGGCCCTCCCCACCCCCACAGGTCCAAACCATGTGTCCATGCAGCAGACAGCACAAAGCACGCTTCCTACGACCTCCATGAGCATGTCTGGCAGCGGCCACGGTACTGCCCCTGGCTACAGCCACTCGGGACCTGCCTCGCAGAGCGTCCCCATGCAGGGTCAAGGTGCCATTGGCAGCTACGTGTCTCGGACCAACATCAACATGCAGTCCAACCCAGGTACTGACTCGGCCTCTATGTAGCCCAGGGAGCATCAGGCTGTAAGGAGGTCCCCAAGGGGCTTCCCTCTTAGAGCACTGGAGTAGGAGACATGGCACAGCGTGGTGGCTTCTCCTGAGGCACGGAGGTGCTGTCTCTGGGCTGTTTAGATCTTTAAGGACAGGGTGGCCTGGCCCCAGTCTGAGGGACAGCACTGGTTCATGCATGGGGCAGAGTCATTCCTGGCATGAGATCACCTGGCAGAGCCACAGAAGTAGGATGAAGATCAGTCAACCGCAGGCCCTTGGGTGGGCCTGTCCACAGGGGCCACTGGCCACAGCCTGGAGATGGTGGCACGTGGTAGGTCTCAACTGGATGTTCCCCAAGTAATGAATCCATCAGATTTTAGAGGTTTTTTGGGTTTTTTTTTGTTTTTTGTTTTGTTTTTTTTTTTTGTGGAACCGGGGATTGAACTCAAGCCCTTGTGCTTTGTGCTTGCCAGGGAAGCACATATTCCACTGAGCCATCTCCCCGGCCCCTTAGAGGGTTATTTATTCAAAAGGATGTGAAGTGTCTCCATAATATTTTTCACAATAATTATATGCTAAAACTTTATTTTGGAAGTATTAGTTAGCTCCAATAAAAAATATTATTAAACCTGATTTCACCAGGGTTTTTTGTTTGTTTGGGTTTTTTCACATTTTCAGTATGGATACCAGAAACTCTATGTGCCTTCTGTCCTTTTGCTGTTGAGTAGTGCTGCTCTGGGTGTCTGAGCAGATGACATGGGTAGGCAGGGTGACTCCCCCAGGCCCAGCACTAGAGACAGAAGAACAGGACTGAGTGCCTGTGGGCCCAGGTTGGTGGGAGCTGTGTGGCTGCAGGCCATGCCCCCGAGGCTCTCTCTGGTGCTGTCCCCACATTGGTGTGTGTCAAGTGGGTACAGCCTGTGTCGGTGGAAGTGTGTGTGGAGCCGGGCTGGTGTTCTCACGGGGAACTTGGGAGCATGGTAAAGGATCAGCCTCAGCAGGGAGTCGGTTTGCAGCAGGAGAAGAGATGAGAGAGTGCTCAGGCTGGCCCTGCCCAGCCTCGGGACTCTTGAGGCCTCTGTCCTGTCTCCTAGTTTCCATGATGCACCAGCAGGCGGCTACGTCCCACTACAACTCAGCACAGGGCGGAAGCCAGCACTACCAGGGTCAGTCATCCATCGCCATGATGGGCCAGGGTGGCCAGGGGAGCAGCATGATGGGGCAGCGGCCCATGGCGCCCTACCGGCCACCCCAGCAAGGTGAGGCCTGCATCCGTGCGCCTGCACAGTGATCCGCCTCAGGGCCGTTGCGCATGGACTTCTCCACGTTGAATTGGAGGGTTGTGGGGTCCCCACCTTCCTGTGAACCAGGGTGCTGGAGGCATCTGCGGGTCTCACTGTGAGAGTCCCCGATGGGCACATGAGGAGCGTCTGGTGTCCGGGGCGGGGGGTTGGGGCCATAGTAGGTCTTCCTGGTGCCAAGTGCAGTGTTTCAGGCTGGGCATTGGGAAAGAGGACGCCTGGTTTCTCCGTGGCCGAGTGGATGCTCTCGGGAGGGAAGCCTCCTGGCAGGCCCTGCCGCTGAGCTGAGATGGCCTGGCCGCCTGCGCCTCCTGAGCGTCCTGTCCCCCTCAGGCTCTTCCCAGCAGTACCTGGGCCAGGAGGAGTACTACAGCGAGCAGTACAGCCACAGCCAGGGCGCCTCGGAGCCCATGAGCCAGCAGTACTACCCGGACGGTGAGGACGCCGTGCTGGCGCGCATGAGCCACTCGGCTTGGTGTTCCTTAGGCGTTCGGGCTGTAGCCCCTGATGTTCCTCCCTCAAGCACCCTGAGTCCCCTGTGCTCGTGCACGCTGGGGCTGGCATAGGAGTGGGCTCTGCACAGGGCTTCGGCGTGCTGCGCTCCTCTCCTCGGGGCTCCTCTCTTTCCTGAGAGGCTGGCAGGCCGGGCCAGCCCTGTAGTAGATAGAGGTAAACCTTTCAGCAAGGTGGGCGCAGACTCACAGAAGAGTGCGCAAGAAAGCAGTAGATGCTGCCTGGCCCCGTGGGTCTGCAGCCCTCGCTGTCACTTCTGCAGATTGCTTTCCTTTGTCACTGCTTGTGCATCTTTAGTTGTCCAGGGATTTGTGGAAGCAGGATTTAAAATGGTCTTGAAGGGGCTGGTGAGATGTCTCAGTGGTCTAAAGCACCTACTTAGAACAAGTTTAGCTAAAGCAGAGGGACCGCGGTTCAATCCCCCAGCACCACATGCCAGCCACCCCCCCCCCGTGGGCTGAGCTGGCCACACACACACACACACACACACACACACACACAAATAAATAAATAAAATTTAAAAAAAATAAAATAAAATAAATAAAATGGTCTTGAAGACTGGGCAAGTTCAGGAGACAAGATGAGGCTCCCAACCTGGGCAAAGTAGTACTCCCGAAGGAGAAGGGTCCAAGTTCAAGTCCCACTTGTGCAACTTAGCAAGGCCCTGTCTCAGAACAAGAAATTTAAAAGGGCTGGGATGAAGCTCACTGTGGAAGATTTGGGTCTAATCTCCAGTACAAAAATAAATAATAAAGACGGGGCTCCTGGAGGACACAAGACATTGGCGTTGGTAAGTGTGAATTAGGGGTGCACAGTGGGGCTGCGAGGTAGGCAGATGGCAGAGGCTGGCTGTAGGGCAAGCACGTGTGTCCTGGGGTGTGAGGGCGCCACACAGCAGGAGCCCATGGTGGTCGGCACTTCCTGCCTGGAAACTCCCAGAAGAAGCCAGGCAGGGACACGAAGGAGCAGCTGGTGCTGTCACGAAGCAGGCTGTGAATAGACTTGGTCCTCTCCATGAGCTGTAACTTTGCCTCACATAATTCGGGGACAGGAAGTGACATCTGCATGTGAAAGTGAAGACTGCTTGGAGAGGTTGGGGCATAGTGGCTGGGGGACGGCTCTGCTGCTGTCCTTGCCTGACCTCCCCGCCTGGCCCTGGCTCTGCTGGCTCCACCCAGAGAGGGCAGTGAGAGGCCCGCCAACCTTGGGTCACCTGTTTCTTGCAGGCCACGGTGATTACGCCTACCAGCAGTCATCCTACACGGAGCAGAGCTACGACCGCTCGTTTGAGGAGTCCACACAGCACTACTATGAGGGGGGTAAGGAGCACGGGGGCTACGCACTGCTCCCACGCGCAGCGGCCCACACGCAGTGGTCTAAGGACTCAGTTTTTTCTTTTTTTTTTTTTTAAATGTATTTAGTACAAGGTCTCACTACACAGCTTGGACGCGTAGTGAGTCTCCTGTTTTCAGCTTCCAAAGTGCTGGGATTACTGGCAGGCACCACGACAACCAGCACAACCAGCGTGCTCCCTGGGGGCGGGGCCAGCACTCGGGCCCAAACCCAGCCCTGTGCTCTGCCTAAACAGGCACTTCAGTCTGCGGAGCTGGCTGGCTGGCTCACAGTGGTTCCGACTCCGCATTCTTAGGAGCGAGCACGGCCTCCTCTAACAGATTTTACCGAAGTCGCTGATGGGCAGTAGATGCAGACATGGCAGGTGGTGCAGAGCTCAGCGGAAAAGCTGGAAATGCCAGGCTGTGTGTCAGGTCCGACTTGCCTTGTGGGTGCTGCGTGGGAGGAGCTGAGGAACAGGCCTACCATCTGCTCTGGCTGACCTGCCTGGGGCCCTCCAGACTTCGTCACTCGTGGGCACGGAGGCACCCCAGAGCCCTTCTGAGGCAAGCGGAGAGTGTTTGTGGGTGGTGTGGCTGCTCTGCAGGGGCTGGCAGTTCTTCAAGACTCACGCTGGCCTGGTGAAGTGCGTCTCTGGTGTGGAGACTGTAGCCCTGTGGGAGACCCCGTCGGGTGGGCCTGGCTCCGGGGAGCCGCTCCAAGCCCAAGCCCTGATTTGTGGTACCTGCCTGTTTCTGTGGTGCACATCAGAGACTGGGAACCTCGTGGCACACCCCGGATGTGGGTGCTGAGGGGCTGGTTCCGCAGGTGCCAGCCCCGGCAGGAGGGCGGCCCCTGGCCGTCAGCATGCCAATGACTGTGAGCGCAGCTGCCTCTGGCCAGGCCTGTCGTCGGGCAGTTGGTGGTGGGGAGATGTAAAGGCCATGGAGGGCCCGCGTGACGAGAGACGGCCAGCTGTGAGTGCGCAGTGACGGCCTGTGCGTGCGGCTCCTCTGGCGTTTCCTTATGATGATGTGCAGTTGACACGTTCCTGCTGGCTTTGTACTGCTGCGTGCGTGATTGTGCCGCCTGATGAGGCTGTCCTGCGCCCAGACGTACAGAGTGTGGTCCTGCTGCAAACGGGGCTGGAAGCCTGCACAGCAGAACTGGGTGTCCAAAGGCTGAGGGCCCTAGTACCTTCCTGTGCACCATACTCGCTCGCTTTTCAGCACTCTGCACCTTGCAGAAAGGGGAGTGCCCAGCTAAGCACTAACTCCCTGTCCCACTCCCCAGCCCCAGCACCCACCATTCTGCTCTTCTCTGGGGACACCTGTGAGTGGGACCAGTGTCCTCTTGGGACTTGGTTGTCTCACTCCACCTAAGGTCCTCGGTTTACTGTGCTGTCCCAGGTGTCAAAAATTTCTTCTTCAACACTGGCTGTGGATAGAGCACACTGCTCAGCTGCTCGTCCGTCCACAAAGCTGTGGGTTGCTTCTGTGCTTCAGCTGTCGTAGCCCAAGCTTCGCTGCTCATGGCTGTGCACATGTCTTTGTGACCTCAGATACTTGGGGTCACGGGGTCACGCGCTAAGCCTGCTCGACGATTCAGGGAGCTGCCGCACTGTGCCATGCAGCAAGTCTGATTTTGGCTGCTGACCACTGCTCTGGCCACGGCTTGGCGCACCTTGTGCTCCCACTGATATGCCCACACCCCTTGTCCTGCCCATGGGGTGCTTCACTGAGGGCCCCGCCTGTCCCAGAAGTAAGCACAGTAACCTGCCATCACTCTGGCTGAGTTAGGAACCTGTGGCTATATAAAATACGGAATTGGGAAGGAAACACCCAAGGGGTCTGGAAGTGCAGTGGCGTACAGGCACCTTGACACGCCTGTCGTCCTACGTCTGCTTGGCTTGAGATCAGGAGCTAGCTCAGGCGGTGTTTCCCTTCCTCTCGCCGCCGTGCCGCAGTGGTCTGCCCTGCTCCCCAGTCTTCCTGCTGGTTCTCACCAGAGTGGGATGCAGCTGTGATTGCCTGCAGAAGTGGGAGGACAAACCGGGCCTGCACAGCCAGCACAGCTCTGCTGCACTGAACCTTTGGCTTACTTTGGTTTTCATGACAGGAAACAGTCACCTGTGCCCGCATCGGAACACCCCCATGGCGTCTCCCTCAGGGCTCCTCTTGGCCGGAAGACCATTCGTGGAGCCGGCTCCAGTGGCAGGGCTGGCCCACTCTAAATGGCCAGCCAGCAAGCTTGTTTGGGCAATTCCATAAAGAGCTGTATCTGTGAAAGGCTTTTGCAGTTGAGCTCACAAGTCCCAGCCTGCTGGGAAGAAATAAACTACCTCAAGTATATGTGTTTATCAGAACATCACGTTGCATATCAGAAATATATACTATCATTGTCAGTTATACCCTAATAGAGCTAGGAAAAAAGTAAAAACATAAATAACAAGTGTTTTCAAAAAGAAAAACCTCCCAGGGGCTGCTTGCAAGGGCATCCGGAGCTTATTTGTACAACAGCCCAGATCCCCAGTACTGGGAATTGTTCAAACCGAGCCCAGCTCTGAACCAGGTGCCTCTTCCCTTCCTGCCCCGCAGGCGTCAGGGCCCAGCCTCTGATGAGCTGTCCTGAGCGCCCCTGTCCCAGGCCGGCCCTGCTCTGCGTGGCCTGGCATGTGCCGCTCAACATGTGCACCCCATGTTTTTGTACTTCCATTTTGAGTTACATATTCTCGCCTTCCATAATTGATGAGTCTGCTAAAAAATTTAGTAACCCTCTGACAAGTGGCAGATGGCTCGGTTTCCTTCTGGAAGTATTTTGTCTTGTCATTTGGTTAATTAGACCCCAGAACAGGAAACCCACATGTGTGTGGGACACAGGCCTGTTGCCTGGTGTGCGTCACAAGGTCTTCTGTTGAGTGAGAGGGCTGGGAGTGCCGTGTTTGTTCTGGGAGGACCAGGGGAGCCAGGCAGGAGCGTGGGCAATGTCCAGGTATGCGTGGAGCTTGTGGCAGTGCATGGGGTGGAAAAGGCAGGTCCACATCCGGGACAGTGAGCTTGTAGCCATACGGCCTAGAGCCCGGGCCCCTTGGAGGCTGAGCTGCCAAAGCCAGTGCAAACCAGCTGACGTTGCCTTCAGTGTGAAACCGGAGGAGATCGGGCTGCACACGTGCGTTCAGATGTGCCCACACATACCACGGGGAGACACCCAAGAAACCAAGCAAAATGGTGACAGCTGGGCGAGGGGAGGGCCTGGCACAGCCGCGATGGACTGGCCTCTTTGTCTGTCACAGGAGTTCATTTTTACACTCGTGAACTATGAGAATTTATTGGTCTATTCAGAAGTTAAGGTTAAGAGTATTAGATATTGGGGCTGGAGAGATGGCTCAGTGGTCTAAAGCACCTACTTGGAACAAGCTTGGCAAAAGCACAGGGACCGCGGTTCAATCCCCCAGCACCACATGCCAGCCAGCCCTGCCCCCTGGTGGGCTGAGCTGGCCGCACACTCTCTCTCTCTCTCTCTCTCTCTCTCTCTCTCTCTCTCTCTCTCTAATAAATAAAAATTAAAAAAAAATAAAATTTTTTTAAAAAAGAGTATTAGATATTAAGTCAGGTATGATGATGCATGCCCATAACCCTGGCACTGTGACAAGCTGAGGGAGAATTGTAGGTTTGTGACCAGCCTGGGCCACTTGGCAATTCAGAGAGACTGTGTCTTAAAATTGAGAGGGAGAACAGGGAAGGGCAGAGGGACAGACAGACCATACGTAGCTCAGTGCAGAGGCCCTGACTTCAGGCCTCAGTAGGACCTCACTTCACAGCTGTCCGTACCATCTATACCTCCTGGAGACCTGTGTCCCTGGGGTGCTGCCTTGGACATTGCTAAGGACTTCGCCAAAAGCAAGTGACACTTCTTAGATGGTGGATAGTGGGAAAGATTAAATTCCTCTGGGAGGAATTCACCCTCGTTACTCTGTACCTGCAGGCCGAATTTCCCCACGCTCTCCGTGGTGCTGCTGTTTTCGTGGTGCATTGCTAGGACCCGGTTTAGAACAGGGAAGTCCTTTGCCAGAGCAGCGAAGTAGGACAGCGGGCTTTTGTCCCCTGAGGCCCCCGTGCCCCTCCCCAGGGCCCGAGCAGTGAGCAGAGCCTGAAGAGTGGTACGTGTGTGCGGGAGCCGGCCCCGCCTGGGATGGGCCCGCAGATGCAGGGCCCTGCAGCAGGCGCTTGGGCAGTGGGGCGAGGCTCGAGGCCCTTGGCTGGCAGGCCGGGACACGGGCCTCGGCCCAACACTTGTCAGAGCATCAGGGTGTCTTGAACGCTGTGGGCGCTGTGGGGAGCCGTGTCCCAACCCGACGGGTGTCCTGTTGGCCGTAACCATTCACAGCCACTCCCTGCTGGTGTTGTGGTGTGTCAGGTGCCTTAGTTGCCTTTCTCATTATTGAGACAAAATAGCTGTGGCACAGAGTTAGAGGAGAAGTCTGCTCGGCTCACAGTTCAGAGGTTTCTTGTCATAGCTGGCTGGCTCCAGGGGCTCTGCAGAGGAGAAATAGCCTTCCATGGTGAGCAGAAGGCAGCGAGGCAGCAGGCCGCAAGCGACAAGCAGCCACCTCTTTCTGTCCCTTTTATCTTGTCCAGGCCACGTTGGGGAGCAATCACACCCAGGTGGGTCCGCCTTAGTCCTGGTAGCACACACTCTAGATAAGCACCCTCCGGAAGGCCCCACCTGTGACCACATGAGGCTTTGGGGGGACATCTAGACAAAGCCACAGCATTGGGCAGGGAGAAGGCAGTGGCCGAGTGACAGGATGTGAGTGTCCAGCTCTCAGGACATGAGCAGCAGAGCAGCACACTACGCACTGTAATCCCAGCTATAATCCTAGCACTCGAGACAAGAAGAAAGAGCAAAAATTTGGGGCATCTAAACTACATAATGAGAGCCTATCTTAGAAAACAGGAAAGAAGGGCCGATGAGATAGCCCAGCGGACTAAGCGCCTGCTTTGGCAAGCACAGGGACCTGGGTTCAATCCTTGGTCCTGCATGCTGCGCTGGCCCCACCCCAGGGGCACACTGAGCTGGCAGTTTGAGTCCGGGCATGGTAATGCACTCCTGTAATCCCAGTGCTGGGGAGGCAGAAAACAGGTCGATCACTAGAGTCTGAACCAGTTAGTGAGATCCTGTACCAAATACATAAATGAAAAAAGGGGTCGGGGAGATGGCTCAGTGGATTAAGCGCTTCCCTGGCAAGCACAAGGGCCTGAGTTCAATCCCTGGTTCCACAAAAAAAATAAAAATAAATGAAAAAACAAAAGTAAAGAAAATAGGAAAGAGAGACAGAGACACACTAACTCAATAAATTGACTGGCCTGAGCTCAAACTTGAGATCCTCCTGCCTCAGCCTCTGGAGCGCTGGGATTATAGGCTTGCACCATCACTCCTGGCTTCATTTGTTTGTGGGTTTCTTTTGTTGTTGTTTTTTGGGTTTTTTTTTTTGTGGAACCAGGGATTGAACACAGGCCCTTGCGCTTGCCAGGGAAGCCCTTATTCCACTGAGCCGTCTCGCCGGCCCTTCATCTGTATTTTTATAAAATTGAATTATGGAGAAGAAACCTGCTGCTGCTACTGAGGCAGCCGCTGTAGTCCTGCTTGGCTGCTTATCCACTCTCGCCGGCGGGCCGGGCCTGAGCCGCGTCTCCTCTCTCTCTCCACAGGGAACCCCCAGTACAGCCAGCAGCAGGCCGGGTACCAGCAGGGTGCGGCCCAGCAGCAGACATACCCCCAGCAGCAGTACCCGAGCCAGCAGAGCTACCCCGGACAGCAGCAAGGCTACGGTGAGAGAGAGGGCCCGCCTGCGCACTCCCAGGCGCGCAGCGTGCATCCTCCGCAGGTGGGGCTGGGAAATCCGCGTCTGGGGCAGGCTGTAGGGCAGCGTCCAGAGCGGTTGTGCACCCCCTTCCCCTGCGACAGTGTCACGCGTTCCTGGAGTACAGCTGTCACAACTAAGAAGCCACGTGGCTGCGTTGCCGAGACTGAGCTCCACGCTTCATTCGGAGCTTGCCAGTTTTCCCCTGGTGTCCTTCTCTGTCCCTGAGCCCCGTCCAGGATCCCATCTGGCTGCCTCCATGGGACTCTCTTGCCTGCGAGTGTTGCAGACCTCCTGTCTCGTGGCCTTGCTGGTGGGGTGGTTGGGTCAGGCACTGTGTACAGTGCCCTTCGGTGGGGTTTGTCTGATGTTTTTCTCCAGCCGGGACTAGGTCCCTGATGTGGCCAAAGGTGTGGGGGAGTTCCCGACCCGCCAGGTAGGTGCCATTGTCATCAGCCTGAGTCCCCATGGCCCTTGGGGTGCAGATTCCCCGTTGCCTTGTGTGCAGTCACAGATGTGCTTTTTACATGTGGGGCTGTAGTTTGTTAAGCTAACGGGCCCTAGCCTGGGCCCCTGGGAGCTCGTCTCCTCAAACCGGCTCCTGTGTCCTTCTCGTGTTTTTGGTTTTCTAGCACCTCTGTATTTTCTGTGCCACAGTGTTTTCTTGCCCCAGCCCTGAGAGAAGCTGCTGTTTTTATTGGAAGCAGCAGTCAGCCCTGGGATCAGGTGAACATAGGCGTCTTCTGCACCTGGTTTTGTGGCCCATTCACGCGAGGCCACACCCGGGCGGCTCAGCTCAGGCGCAGCGTGACAGATGCTCAGTGTCCATCAGCACCTGCCCACCCTGCGAGGATCAATGCTGACCTAGCTGCCAAGTCTGCCATGGGCACTGCCATGGGCACTGGGGTCCTGGGATAGCAGGAAGGGCAGAGGGCCAGGGCCCAGCTGCAGTGGAAACACAGCAGGACTGTGGCCCGCCAGCTTGGTCCTAGCCCCTCCTGGCCCTCCTCCTAGGACCTCAAGCTCTAGAAAGGGCCGTGGCCAGCCCTCGCCCTCAGGAGGAGGCTCTAGCAGTTCCCGTGCTCCATGTTCTGGGAGGCAGGGCCAGTGTGGGCTCTTGCACGATAGCCGCAGCAGGGCTACTTCCTCCTGCCCCCCAAGTGTCGCCCCGCCCCAGTGGGAGCTGGGTGGGGAGCGCACGGCTGGGAGGCCACCCTCAGCTGGAGATCCTGACAGTCCCAGAGGCACGCAGGTGAGTGGTACACACTGGAATCGTGGTCCTCAGAGGCCCCGGGCAGGGTAGTTGCCTTGAGTTCAAGGCCGGCCTGAACTATATGGCAAGATACGTTGTACCGAAACATCTTATTTTATTTTTATTTTTTGGCGGAACCAGGAATTGAACTCAGGCCCTTACGCATGCCAGGCAAGTGCTTATTCCATTGAGCTATCTCCCCTGCCCCTGAAACGTCTTATTTTAAAGAAAACAAAAATGCATTCATCAGCCGTGCAGTCTCGACCAGAGCTAGCCCCGTTCTTTCTGTAAACCGCAGGCCCACTGCCTCCTCTTTTGTGTCATCCTTGACTGAGGATACGAGCCTGGTCCTTGGGTCTCAGTCTTGGCAGTGTCTGAGAATCACCTGAGCAGCTTTTGAAAAATTAGGAGCTGCAGTCAGCTCCTATCAGACGGCCCCACGTGTGGGGAGGGAGAAACCACGGTTCCGGACCACCCAGCTTGGGCTGTGGAGGTAGCTCAGCAGTCTCAGCGCTTGCCATGCATGGCGCATGCCGTATCCAGTGCTGGGGAGACAGGTGGGAGGCCCGTCTACACTGTCTAGTGCAACCCTGTACTAAACACATAAAGATAAATGGAAGATTTAAAAAAAAAGACTGCTCAGCTTTACAGTGTGCCGGTAGCATTTACAATATCACTTGGGGCCGGGGGCTGGCTCAGGAGAGTAAACACCTGCCTGGCAAGCACAAGGCCTGAGTTCAATCCCCAGTTCCGCCAAAAAAAAAAAAAAATATGTGTCTATCTTACTTGGGTGTGACTTAATGACAGAGTACTTGCCTCCTGTGCACAGGGCTGTGGGTTCTAGCCCTGGTCCTGGAAAAAATAATAAGCTGACTTGGCCTTTACTGATTCTTTCTAATACCTTCAGCTTAGCTTTCGCAGAAGTTTCCCCCGTGTGCCTGGGGTATGTCAGGTGCATGTAAGGGGACCAGCAGTGACTGCGGCAGGCCGCTGCCAGCAAGCAGCAGGCCAGTTGTGTTGGGGAGAGGCTGCGGCCACCCACAGGCGAGAGCACGGTCTGGCCCTTGCAGGACTGGTACTGTGCGGCTTGCCTGCACAGCTCCCGGCCACGAGCATAGGCACGTGGTGGTGTCCTCACGGCTCTGGCCTGGCTGTTTCCACAGGGCCTGCCCAGGGAGCCCCCTCGCAGTACTCCAGCTACCAGCAAGGACAAGGCCAACAGTACGGAAGCTACAGAGCCTCGCAGACGGGACCCTCGGCCCAGCAGCAGCGCCCATACGGCTATGAGCAGGCAAGCTTTCTGGGTGTTCCCAGACGTGCCCATCTGCTGTGTGTGTCAAGACGAAGTGAAGATCCCTCTTACAGTCATGAGGAGTAATGGAGTACAGCTAACTGGCATCAGGGCCCCTTCCAGAGTGTTAATTCTCTGAGCCTATAAGGTTTTTAAAAATTACCTCTGCATATATACTCACCTCAGTCCGGCAGATGGCTTTCTATGTCCCAGACTTACGCTAGGTTCACATGGGGGATTCTTGGCATGAGTCATTCTGCAAATATTGTCTGTGTGCCTAGCACACTGTGGGTCTCTGCTGGGCTGTGGGCTGTGGGCTGTGGTGGTGACCTGGCCCCTGAGTGGTTAGGCTAGGTGTCTCGGTGAGGAAGAAATCGCTCGCCTGATGAAGCCAGAGTCTCCTGAGGGCTGGGCATCAAGTAGGAGCTCAGACTGCCAGGCTGGGAAGCAGGACAGCAAGCGACACTCCAGGGCCAGCAGTTAGAAGAAGAAGCGACGGGGGCATGAGGATGACACAGTGGGGCCGGGGGTGGCACCTGGTCTGACCAGTAGTTCTGGGAAGCTGTGCCGTGGTGGCAGTCCAGCAGGTCCTGATGGAAACCAATGAATTGAGTTTTTGGTATACAGAAGAGTGAGGAAGCCTGTGGCCGGAGCAGGCGTGCAGCAGGAGACAGCAGGGACTGGTGAGAGGGCATGGGCCTCAGGGTCTCTCCTGGAGTTGCTCTCTGGCTCTGAGCAGGACATGGGCCCTGGGGGCAGATGTCTTCATACCAGGAGCCCTGAGGAGATGAGAGGGAGCTGTACTTAGGGAGGGATCTGCCAGGGTCCTGAGGTGGGAGCAGATTTGTCAGAAGAGCCGGAAGGAAGCCTGGGAGGGAGTGGTGTGAGCGGTGGGACCTCTTGGAGGTTGGCCAGAAGTCTCCTTCAGAGCAGTTCAGCAAGAGGTGACCACCCCAGGGTCACTGTGTGCCAGGCAGAAGATGTTAAGGGGGCTCACAGAGCTCATTGTACTGAAATGGCTGCTTGCCTCAGGTGGCCAAGCAATCAGGGTTTCTCAGCCTGCTTTTAAAGGACAAGCCAGTGCCAGTTCTGCCCTCTATCCAGGCAGGGTCACTAGAGGAGCAAGCTAAATAGGTCAGTGGTGCCCCCTTGCAAGCGTACTGGCCACAGGGCTGTGGTGCCAGTGTGTCTGGAGTTGGCCCGCTGGGTGGGCATCGGGTGTGTCACCTGCCCCAAAGCAGTGCGCAGAACCCAGGGGGCACAGTCTGCAGCTGGCCCCAAATGCAGTCCCTAGCATGATTTTAGTGAGGTAAGTCTCCTTCCAAGAGTACAGAAACAATGCATTCGGAATGTAGAAAGTGACCCGTGAAGGTTCTGGCCGAATGACAAATCGGAGGACACCAGTTTATGCTTACCTCTAAACAAGACGTGGCAACTCCAGTTATGAGTAGTCTGATGCGGTCTTGACAGGGTTCAGGTGTCGCTGTGTGCCCTGGGTCTCTGCTCAACGTCCGTGGGGCTGGTCAGACCCACCCCTGCCCAGCTGGGGGAGCCACAGAAGCTCTTCTGGGGCATCTCGGCTGCCCAAACCGCAGCAGCCCCTGCGCCTGAGCAGTCCTCAGATGTGCTGACAGATCCGTGCCAGTCTGCAGGAGCATGTCGCCCCGTAGGCCGGTTGTTGAATTATTAAGGCCTGTTCAGACTTAATTCAAGGGAGACAGGGCGGTGAGCTGAGTGACCGTGACCTGGTCTCCAACAGTCCTGTGGGCAGCTCTTCTTCCTGGCTCGGGCACCCACTCCTGCAGCCATGCTGGATGCTGCCTCGGCTCTCTGCTTCCGGCTCTCAATTGACAAATCCTGTTACCCTGGTCACCCCAGTCCCATCTCCTACTGGAGCGTGGGAGGAATGCGGGGAGGAGCCTGTATGGCCCTGCTGCCCCCCAGTCAGCAGCCCTTGCTGCCTGGGGGACGGAGCCCTCCGACTCCTTAGCGATATTGGCCGGAGGCGTGGGAGTGTGGTGCGCCGCCTCACGCTCGCCAGCCCGCCTGCGCAGCCCCTCCTCCCACTGCCTTCGCTGCCTGTCGGCTAGGAGCGGCCGCTCAGGACTGGAGAGGGTAATCTGTGTCTTGGTCTCTTTCAGGGCCAGTATGGAAATTACCAGCAGTGAGGGGCAAGCATTCTTGTTGGAGCCCTTGTGGCAGCGAGTCCGCCTGTGGACGGATGGGCCAGTGACATTGAGCGGAATTGGCCGCGTCGGTTCTCCTTTGCCCTGTGCCACGTCTGCGTGTGAAGCGTGCTCATTTCATGCTGGGTATGACGTTGAGCGTGCGTTGCTGGCGCGAGGCAGCGCTGCGACGGTGTGACATACTTGGTGCTGTACATAGTATTATATGTCAATACAACGGAGAGGTTGTCCCTTCTTTGTCCCCTGCCCCCTTTCGATGTCCTAGCTAGCTTGGGGGTCATCTTGTTACCAGTGTTCTGTGTCCAGAAATGGGACATGTCTAAACGGCTCCATAACCCATGTGTCCACGTCAACAGACCTGGGTCTTCTCCCTCTCCTCATGCCAGGGTCACACTGGGTTGTAAATGTTTCTGTGACTGGCTGCCCACCGGATGGATGCCTGCAGCCCTGGGTGGCACCTCGGCGGTGCTGCACAGGGGCTGGGACGCGGCCTGTGTTTTGGGCCAGTTTCTGTTACGCCATAAGAAGGATGAACATGCTTCCCCCGGAGAGGCTGGAGCCACTCTCCTGAGCTTGCCCCTTGCTTGTGCTCTGGCTAACCCCGTTGATCCAAAAAGGTGTACGTGTTTGTATTGCAAAATGAAGAGGGATCAGTGAAGGTATTGCAAGTAAATAGGAGTCCGTGAGGGCAGTGCGTGACCAGCCCAGTGGTGGGGCCCTGTGACGCGCACCTCAGTGGGCCGCCTGTGTCACTGGAAGCCCTGCGAGGCTCGCCACCGGGGTCGGCCTGACCCGGGGTGTGGCGTGGCCGAAGACTTGGGCAGCTCTCCGCCAGCCGGGCTGCAGGGGCTGTGCTGTCTCTGGCCTGTGATGATCTGACATCATTTTTAGGGTTCGAATATTTAATATACCCAATCCTAAACAGAGGTGACTTAGAGTATTGATACCAAATTTTCCAAACAGTTGGCAAGTTTTTTATTTCATATTATTTCTTCTAGGACCTACTTGTTCAGATCTCCAAGCAAGTGTCCCTTTTCTTTTAGGGATGTCTGAAATCATATCCTATTTTTAAAAATTATTCCAGTAACTTTACTGTATTCATTTGAATGAAAACTAAAGGTTTTACATTGTAAAATTTGAGTGGTTTTTACACCCCTTAGACGCTCTGTGCAGCACACTTGGAAAGCAGCCGAATGAAAACCCGTGTCTCCACTGACACATAGTGTGGGCATTTGATCAGCTTTGAATAATAAAACCATATTTACTTTTGACTCCTTTAAAAAAAATAAAAAAAAAAACCCTTCAGATAAATGCTGTTGTATTTCTGAGAACTACCAGGAAAGTACAAAATACATTCAATGCTTGATACATCAGGTCTGCTGAAGATGTTTTTCTTTAATTGATAATTGCAATGTTTTAAAAATTAAAAGTGACTTTTATTCAGAATTGAGTGCTTTATATTTTGTGGGAGTTTTGTTTTGTTTGCTTGAATGCATCTGAGAGACCATGCTGGGAAATCAGGTCCCACTCTCGCTCCGAGGAAGGCCAGGCTCGGTGCAGGCAGGCCGTGCCGGCCGCCAGTCCTGTCTGAGCGAGTTCTCCCCGCTCCCGTGGGGTCGATGCCAGCGGACGAGGCAGAGCAGTTCCTGCTTTCTGTGCAGTGTCTAAAAAGCCCTCCACGCTGATACGGGCTTGAAAAATATACATGCGCATAGCTCTTACCCTAAACACAGCAGAGCTACTAGCAGTGTCATTTAGGAAGTCACCCCAGTTTTGTTCTTTTCCTGTTTTTATAGAGCTAATTTGGAAACTCAGTTGCGAACTAAAAATGCCCATTGCAAGTGTTAAATAAACATTTGACATAACTGTGAAGGTACTCTTTACTCCTTGCCAATCTGGGAATATGCCTTGTGTGTGTGTGTGTGTGTGTGTGAGAGAGAGAGAGAGTGTGTGTGTATGTGTGTTAAGTGCTGTATTAATGCTTTTTGAAAGAAAAAGGACACTTAAACTTATCACCCCAAAACTTCCATCTGGAATGTCTTACATTAAGAATTTCTTGAATGTTGTGTACATATTTTTAAAAGCACTTTGTGAAATAGTTTGTACATTTATTTCCTAATTTATACATGATTTTTGGTGTTAATATATTTAATAACAGAATGTTTATTTAATGTTTTGTCCACTTCTGTGTAATTTTGTGGAGGAAAGTGATGCCAGCGATTCTTTTCCATTGGCTGTATCATATCTTCGCTTCTGTGATACCGATGTTTGGAAGGCTTAGGCAGCGCTCAGCGCTCACGCAGCGTGGTGGTGCTTCCTTTTTAATGACTGCATGCTGAAGGCCAGAAGAGACGCAGATGCGTGGCCCGCCGCCCTCCTTCCTGCGGTCTCCTGACCCCCAGGCGGGCAGCGCTGACTGCGGGGCGCCCACGCGCGCAGGAGCGGAGTCGGCGCCCCGCGTGGCTCCAGGGCCAGAGCCTGCGCCCGGCCGGCCTGCGCGGGG